CCCTACTGTCCACAAGTGGAGGAAAAAAAAAAAAAAAAAAAAAAAAGTCAAAAGGGCACTAACAGCCTAAGACGGTCACCCAGGGGATGCATTTGTGACCAGATTCATTTTGGTATACGTCGGTTACAAAGTATCTTGATTTTCTCTTGAATTTGCAGAGAAAAAAAAATAAATCAAACCCTCATGCAACTGAGATACAACGAATTGCATGAGGTAGGGCAAACACATGTTTTAGGTGCACCGGGAGCCAAAATGGAAACCGGATGCACTTGGGAATTGACCGTTTTCTTTTCTTTCAGTTTGAGGCTAGTTGTGGGGCAGTGGGACTAGGAAAATGACCCCTACTACAGTCCGAGTTGCAACGAACTACATGGGGAAGGGAAAATACAAGTTGAAGGTGCATCCGGGACCAGTATTGAGCCCGGATGCATTCAAAAGTTGAGCACTTCATTTTCCTTCAGTTGGGGGCGAGTTGTGGGGCTGCGGGACTAGGAGATTGAGCACCATTGCAGCTCGAGAAATAACGGACTGCCTGGGGATGCCTAGGCCAAGAGAAAATGAGTCGCGGCATGCCCCAAAGAGCTAGAAAACATTGTCGTAGGCATAAGGGATGGTGACGGTAAATGGTGACGGCAAGGTGGGGGTCTCGCGACCGGAAATAATCGGCACGCTCGAAACGCATGGGAAAAATGGTTTGGGACTGTCGGGGACAAGGGGAGTCCCAAATAAAAATGGGACGTTGACCGGAGCGACGCCGGGGACTAAACAGACCCTAATAAAAATTGTCGAAAATTGAGATTTTGTCGAGAGCACCGTCGGCGGGACAAAAAAACGGGACTAACACGGGGAAGTGGCGGGGACTTGAGGTGTCCCGAGGGAAAACCACAAGCCAATGTGGGGAGTGGATGCGCGCGGCCAACGGCGCCGTCAAGATCAAAGATCTTGATGGTGGAGAATATTAGCACCACTAGTGCAAGCACTAGTGGAGCCCAAATGGGAGGACTAACGGTAAAAGAAAAGAGAAAACGGGAGATGGGAGGGCTGCCCAATAGTCCGGGATATCTCGGACTAGCTAGGCATGAGAAAATAAAGCTCCAAGCTTCTAAGGGGCCCCGTGCCAAAAGAAGGCTGTCAGTTTGCAGGTCTAGAAGGGACTGTGAGCTAGTGTGTAGAGCTCTAGAGGCTAGTGGTAGTGGGAAAGGTGATCCGCCATAGCCTCCAGGCTGTGAAGAAGAAGGCAAGGCTAGAAGGAGTCCTATTAGCCCTCCTAGAGGGAAGGACTCCATAGCCATAGAGGTAGGACCCGATTGTAGCATGGGAAAAGGTGAGAGAAGGGAGAGAAGGGCTTGAAGAAGAAGGAAGCTATAGCCAAGGGGGTGCTTGAACAAGGAAGGAGGAGACTTCATCAAGATTGGTACTTCATCCCAAAACACCAAGGAGGTGAGTGGAGAGGAGGGACTCCTCCTCCTCCTTCTTCTTTTTCTTTTTCTTCTTCTTCTTATTTATTTATTTTTTCTACTTCTTCTTCTTCTTCTTCCTCTTCTTCTTCTATTTCTTCCCCTCCTCCTCCTCCTCCTTCTTCTTCTTCTTCTTCTTTTTCTTTTTCTTTTTCTTCTTCTTCTTCTTCTTCTTCTTCTCTTCTTCATCTTCCCCTCCGTCTACTTTTTCATTTCTCTCTCTCTCCCCTCCTTTTCCCCACTCTCTTCTTTCCTTCCTCTCTCCATAGGAGCTCTCCCAAGCATGAGGATAGGTGGTAGGGAGCCTTCCCACTAGTAATGATCTCTCAATAAACTCTCCCTTCACTCTCATGTGAATCGTCACTTTCCCCCTTGTGATTTCATGCATTTGGGTGAGTTCTACTCACTCTACTCTCACTTTCTCTCCATTTCTCTACTTGGATG